CCGTATCTGCTGTTTTCCATCCATAGAAACGAATGGGAAGCTGCTATTCCGCCTTCTGCCACTAGAGGGGGATATTTTTTATTTTTTCCTTTTAACCTAACTCTTTTCTTTCCTTTTAAAAAGGAAAGAAAAGAGTTTATAACTCGAATCTAAGTTCGCAAGTCGAGTCCATACATTCCTACAGGAACCCAAACCTCAGGCACAGCTCCATCATGGAGGGGAAAGTATGTCGACCCTGGAGCGAACATAGACAATTTCCCTGGGTTTCTATGAGACAGAAATAGTAAAACAAAGGGGAGAAAACAACAAGACACAAATGAAAACCAATGCCACTCTTTAATCTCTCTTATTCTGACAGCATTTCCCTGGGTTCCTATGAGACAGAAATAGTAAAACAACGGGGAGAAAACAACAAGACACAAATGAAAACCAATGCCACTCTTTAATCTCTCTTATTCTGACAGCAGCAGCATTTGGGAGTTTTCAACAGCAGAACCTCCAATGTGGGACCTGTACCTCTGTACAGATAGAAAATTGCTCTAGTCTAGGCAGTCTGACAGAAGAGTACAAAAATGGGGGAAATAATTTGTTTGCACTATAATTCTGGGAGTTGCAGTCCAAAAAACTAACTTTTCCAAGCTGTGTCAGTTTCTTTTACTTTTTGTGTCTCTCCTACTGGCCACCATAACTATTCTGACCTTGACTGTAAACTAGAGATGTAATTTTAAAATGTGTTATTTCAATGGACCTATGACACAAGCAACTTTTGAACTATCTTCTTCTCTCCTGAAATCCTGTTGCTTAGCATAATAAGTTGCACTACAGCAGGCCCACTGAATCAGTTGGAATTTAGAAAGTCAACTTTCCCATAACTTCCAGTGATTCAAATTGCCTATTTTAGTTGCAACTCACCAGGCTAAACTAAGTTACAACTAGAATAGGTCCATTTGAATCAATGTAACTTATGCAGGGGTTGACTCACCAAATCCCCACTGATTCAATGGGCCTACTCTAGTGCAAATCACTATTCTAAGCAATTTCGGCCAATATTGCATGTTATGATCATCTCCTGAATATTTATCCTCTTGATCTTTTCCAAACTGTCTTACCTGCTGTTCCTATTATACCATTCTTGAAGAGGTAGGATATACCGGTAACTGTAATGCATCAATGATTTCAAATGCTGTAATTGTAGCCTGAGGGAAAATGGAGGGTTAGAAATACTTAAAATATATGAATATATTAGAATAAATAAATACATTAGCTAAAAACCTGTAGTAACTGAACTGGAATGTCCTTCCTATGAAGAAAAAAAATAATTATTGGAATATTGGAAAGGTTAAGAGCATTTTAATATGACAATACTGTCCAATTATATGTGACAACTGAAATAGCAATGAGTATTATATGTAAGAGGGTATATTTAAAAATATGCTCCTTTTAAGATTTATTATTTATTGTCCAAAATATACAGTAACATAATGTCATTATATATGACGTAGAGTCATAGAATCATGAAGTTGGAAGGGACCTAATAAGGCCATCAAATCCAACCCCCTGCTCAATGCAGGAATACAGGTCAAAGGATATCTGCCAGGTGATTCTAAAAGTTCTCTTGAATGCCTCCAGTGTTGGATCACTCACCACCTCTCAAGGTAATTGGTTCCATTGCCATACTGTTCCAACAATATTGTGACAATTATTACTGTATAACTTATCAGGCAACTACAAGGTACAGTGGTGCCTCACAAGACGGGAGCCCCATTTAACGACAAAACCGCATTACGACGATCTTTGGTCGTCATTACGACGATGATCTGAATGGCGTTTTTTCGCTTTGCAATGATCGGTTCCCTGCTTCGGAACCGGTTCTCGCAAAACAACGATTTTAAACAGCTGATTGGCGGTTTCAAAATGGCTGCCAGGTAAACAAAATGGCCCCCCGCTGTTTTCTGGGACGGATTCCTCACTGCACAGGCAGCGAAAATGGCCACGCTATGGAGGATCTTTGCTGGACGGTGAGTTTCAAGCCCATAGGAACGCATTAAACAGGTTTTAATGCGTTTCTATGGGCTTTTTAATTTCACTTTACAATGTTTTTGTTCTACAGCGATTTCGCTGGAACGAATTAACATCGTAATGTGAGGCACCACTGTATATTTATCATTACCTTGGTCCACTGTAAACTCCTGGACTTGTTGTACAAAACAAAGCTTCTAAACTCTGAACTTTTATTTAATATGGCAACCCACCTTACAGGGATATTAAATAAGAACCTACTTATTGCTCTTAGTGACTGAGGCATATATTTAACTTTTAGAAAGGAACCTTAACTAAGTGCTTTCCCTTCATCTCCCATTATGAAAGAGCAAGGAATCACAAGAAGGAAGTTTCCAGAAAGCAATTTTGCCTGCTGTCTTTCAGCCTGTCTAAATCACAAACAAAACAATTTTCTTCCAATGCTTTTTTTTAACCAGGCAGGTGTCTATCCTATTGAACCATTTTTTTTTCAGACATCACTTGGGGAAAAAAATCTTTTTATTGGACAGCAGCTCTCAGTAATCTTGCCAGCCAAGGGATTCTAGAAGATGGGCTCCCAAAAAGTAACTTCTCAAGCACAATCTTTACAACAGTCATGATTTAGAGTGTTCCACAGCAGATACTAAACAATGATGTTTTTATCCCTCCTGCTCAGTGCCTACCCACCTCATTTCTGTTGAAGGGATCAGAAAACAGAACTCTACAGGCTCAGTAATGAAATGATCAAAAACATATCCTGGCACATAAACATTATACATATATATTTCAGGAAACTTTTCATTTTTGCAGCTCTTTTGACAAAAGCACGAACTGAAACCCGCAAGCTACCCAGTAGGAAACTTTGATTCATCCTCAGAAAGGAGGAAAGCCTGTCAGCACAATCAAATCTGGTTTTGGAAGCTTTTCTAAAAATCCTGGAAATGTTCAGTGTTCACTAACTACACAGGTAGTGTAACTATCCAGTGGTTCCAATAGGTACATAGAGCTCTGTACAGGCAAGGTTTTTTATCACCAGTTTCCTTTTCCGAGGAGGGAATCCATTTATCTATTAGCTATTTTTCTACGATACTTTATTTTTTCCAGTGGCAGCACACATGGCTTTCCTTCTACCCACTTCATCCTCATAATGGCCTTGTGATGTAGGTCCGGCTAAGACAAAGGGATTTGCCCAAAGTCGTTTGCTGAGTTCTGTCACTCAAAGAAAACTAGAATGTAGACTTCAAAGTCCCAGTTCAACAATTCACGGTATCATTCCGGCTAATAGAAGGCTGAGGGCTAAACCCAGTAATTAGCCCCAAACCACAGCAAATTCACCTAATGAATAGAACTTGTTAAGTCAAGACTAATGTTAAGATCCAGCGAATCTCCTAAATCTACTCAGCTGAGTGAATATTTGGACTTTGCCCATAAAGAAGCAGGGACAATATAGGACTTCCTATACTGTATTGAAATTTGAATGTCTTCTTTCTCAAACAAACAAACAAACTCCAAAATAAGTCCTAAACTGTTAAATGCAGACAGATTAATATTTTCTTTATTTACTAAAAAATTTTAAAAAGCACAGCAAGAGGAAAAAATTAAAGAGGAGAAAGCCTTAAACATTTGCCTTCTTATCTAATATGCCTATGGGTTCTGAAGTTGGAGAAAATAACTTTTTCGGAATCCAACTCCCAGAACCCACTGCCATCACAGATAAGGTAGGAGGTTTAGGGAGCTGTAGCCCAAAAACTATCTTTTCCCAGATCTGCCTCATATTCCTAAGTGAAGCATTTCATGTAGAGAAATCACATGTGTTCAAAAAGGGGGGGGGAGGAAAGGAAGAATATCCCCCAGATCATGGCACCATTCTTACATAGACAAATGCTGCTTAGTTAACTGTGTTAACGTACAGTGCAAGTAAACAAAGCTATGGAGATGAAACCTCCAAAAAATTCTTCTTCAGTAAGGTTGGAATACAGACACTGGATCTAGCAAACAGATTACTTACATTTCCCCTCCAGAACTCAACCAAGTCATTCTGGTGCACAAGGCATAAAATAAATTAACATCTGCTATCCATGCACTGAACCTTAGTTAAAGGCTAGTATCCTTTGTTGCAGCTAAGGCCAGCAAGGTGAACATAAAAGTGTTGTACGGCAGGTTCTGACTTTCACACGGACAACACTGTCCTCCAAACACCTGGCCACAATTTCCTATCCCCAAGCATATACTACTCGAGGTTTCTGTCTTATTTTGCCTAATGGTAGGACTGGTTTCATATCCCACTTCTTAATCATACACAAATTTCACTGAGACTAGACTGTTTTTATTAGTCTGAGGATTACCCCACAAAGTAAATTTGAACTTGCTGTTGTTTATACATTGGTTCCTTATAGCAAAGAACAGATGTAGCTACTCCCAAATATCATAACCACTTGTGTTGTCCCTTCAGTGAGTGGACAATGGGCAAGACATCATAGCCGTTTTCTAGTTGTAGACGCTTTCTCTGTCCTACCCATTTTCTATCACTATTCTGTGAGCAGCAGTTTAGCATATACACCCTATGCATATAGGGTTTAGCATATACACTTAAAAATAAATGCAAACTTCTCAAAAATCAAAATGAATTAGAAAAAATTAAAACACAGTAGCTATACTAGGAAGGAAGGAAGGAAGGAAGGAAGGAAGGAAGGAAGGAAGGAAGGAACAAACGGACAGACAGACAGACAGACAGACAGAAAAAAAGAAAGAGTAAGTAAGCAAGGTAAAACTAATTTAGACATCATTTTGACAGCACAGAAGAAAAAAGCCTTCATTTGGTAACCAAGAAACAGGGAGGGAAGGTACCAGGTGAGTCTTCCTAGGGACAGAGTTCTAAATGTGGCTTACCACCACCAAAAAGACCTCACTCCCTAATTAACACCTCCTTAACATCCTAAGACAGGATAGACTAGACCCAGAAAAGGAACTCCACAGGGTACCTCAGTGTATAGGCAGGTTCCTGCAAGAGAAGGCAATTCTTGAGGTGTTCATGCCAAGTACACATGCCTGGAGACAAAAACAACAAGGTCTGACGCCAGGATTTATTCCAGCAGCCTCTTTCAGTTTGCTCTCCCACTACAGTCTGACAATGTGATTGCTTCTTGGAAGCCACATGTCAATGAATACCACATAGTCCTCTGTATAACATCTTTTCTGTACTTGACACAATAGTACAATTGTGAGAAAAATGGCCAATGCTTTCACGACAAGAGTTGTGTCACTTTGTAATGTGATTTTGTATCACATGTTGCTTTGTGGTGCTTGCACTGCATGAGAATGAGGAGGTAATAAGACAAACGCTGATGCCATGGGACATTTAAAAACAACTCAAGTTTTACTGCATGTATTTATACACAAGTGTACATGGCTTCAGAGGCAATACGATATTTAACATTATGTCCTCATTCTGCTCCGGTGACCCACGTTTCACTGCAAGATATTCCCCTCGTACATTTCTTGCTGGTCTAGAGAGATGATGCACTTTGTTGTTCTTACTACAGCTTCTGTCTTCAATCTCTCAGCCAGGATACCTGTAGAGGTTCAGAACTATTTTGTCTTTCCAGTCATCTGAGAGTGTATCTGTACTACACAGTCATTACAGTCTGATAATAATATTTAACCATCACAGAGACTTCCTACAAAATCTTGAGCTTTGCAGTTGGTGAGGTCCTTAGAATTCTCTGCTAGGAAACTCCAGCGCTGTGGTTCAGGTGAGAGCACTGAACAACAGGATTCCATCTGACATGGTTGTTACCTATGTTGTCACAGTTGTGGTATCTGTGGTGCTCGCCCCGTTGGCCCCTGCTTGTTTCGCCAAGCACAGGGCTCACACGAGTACCCCAACACACCCTATAACACAGTGCCACCCGTTGATCTCTTTATCAACCTGTATTTCCTATGAACGACTGAGGTCCATTCAGTTACACAAAGCTTTGGTATTTTACTCTAACCTCTTCTGTCTTAATTAATACCGGTCCCACTCTGAATAATCACTCCTTAAAAACTCTCTGCCTCAAACCCCAGACTCTTTCCCTCTTCTCTGTCTCTCTGACTGAACTCTCCCTGTAGTCTAGACTCTCACTCATCCCTCCCTTCTTGTTTCTCTGGCTCCGCCTCCCGACAGCTCTCATTGGTACCTGCAAATACATTGTTGAATAGTTATACCAGGGGCGATCGCTACAGTATCAAACCACAATAATTTTGTAGAACATTGCATGTTTACTCCCACAGAGCCTACTTTGCCCCTTCACCACTTCTCTGGGAGTCCATGTTAAACGTCCCTTGCCATTTCTGGTAAGAAGTATTCCTGCCCCCTTGGCCAAAACAGGATGATAGCCAATGTCCTTTCCCCATACTATCCCTATAGTCACATCTCATACACACTCTCCTCCTATTTGATGTGCTCCATACTCATTATTAAACAAAAAAAGTAAAAATTGCTAAAATCAATATGACTTACGTCTGCAGACATGCTCAGGAATGCTTTAGCAACTTCCTAGCAGGGTTTTTTTTGGGGGGGAGGGGGGAGATAGGAATGGAAATAGGAAGAAGAAAGGAAGTAATTAGGAAGACTTGAACAGACATTACAAATTTTTATTGCCTTCAAACAAGAAATAGATATGTGAAAAGCAGCCTCAACTTCACATTCCATTTCATTATAATAGTGCACAATGGAAAATAATGCCACACAATAATCACTACCGCAACGGGAATATAATAAAGAAAAAATCATTTAAATGGTCTTAAAA